ACGAGATGGTCGATTCCAGTTTTGTCGTACTCTAGCTTCACATTCTCTTGCGGACAACAGGATCGCATTAGATACAGGATCGTGAGCATTGGCCGCGTTCTGAAATCAAGCGCAGCCATTTACTTCCATCTTCAGCTTTTCACTTCGGTTTTTTATGGTCCGACCTTTGCGTTGCAGTGGAGATTCTCCACTGGAGAACGAAATGCTGCTGAATTCAATCGGGTGCAAAAGTCAGAGAGCGCACTGACGTGGCGAACAAGACTCTTCACGGAATCCTCGAGCCTGCGATCGCGTTTTTGAGCTTCTAAAGATAACGAGAGATCAAGTGAATCACCGCAACATATAACATGAGGCTTCGCACGCGCCACCAACCAGTGCATTCTACTTCTGTACCATAGTTAACGCCTCAAGAGGAAGCCACTGACAAAAGAAGAAAATAACGGACTGAGCGTGTAATTATACGCTACTGATCGACGCAAATTCAGGTGAGCTGAAAATAACGTTATTTGCAAAACTTTTGTCTAAATCTTGGCAATGTTGGTCGCGTTAATTTCGATTGGAGAGCTGAACGTGTCGAAGGATCGAATCATGGCTTCATCGCGGTCGATTCGCTTGTCGTCCAGTTTTTTCTTCTTAACGACGTATGCGATGGCGGCCAGGGCGATACCGCCGACAACTGCCAGCACGATGAGTGCCACAACGACTGGACTCGTGCCTGACGAGTCCGCCGCAGACTTGGTGTTTGCCTGCTTGGTGTCGGAACTGGCAGTCTGCTTCGTGTCGTCAGTGTCGTCCTGTTGCTGGGTGCTGGGCGTCTTTTCGACGCCGGCCTCACTGGACTGTAGAATAGACACGCCGCTGCCTGACTCGTCGACTGCCGTCACCTTTCCGGCCTTGTAGGTCGTGGAGGCCGAGTTATTTGTCAACGTGTTAAAGTAGTTGCTCACCTCGCTCTGCTGAGTCTGAGACTGAGACGCACTGTTGCTAGTGAAAGTGTACGACGTCTGCTGCGTCTGAGTCTGGGACTGAGACGCACTGCTGCTGGCGAAAGTGTACGACGTGGGTGTCGCGGTCGTAGTGGTCGGCGTTGCAGTCGTAGGTGCCGGTGCCGGAGTTGCCGGTGGTGCAGTCGTAGGTGTCGGCGTTGGAGCAGCAGTCGATATTGTGGGTGTAGGAGCGGCAGTCGTAGGTGTCGGGGCGGTCTGGCTGGTAGGTGTCGAGCTCTGTTGCGTCGTGCTAGCGCCGAAGTTGGACGTGCCCTCCGTGCAGTTGTCGGCTATCAGCGACAGCGTCTGAGTGATGGTCTCACCCGAGACGGAGGTGAGCTCAACGCTCACCGCCGACATGTCGACGTTCGATCCGCCGTTCAGAAGGTAATAAAAGCACGAGTCCACCATCGTCACATCCTGGTTGGCAATTTTCATGCTGGCCACACCATTGGCAAAATTTGCGGGCTGAATGGCTAGCCACGAGCTGCTACTGCCACTTTTGGTGCAGTATTGGACGTTGCCACTTACGGGACAATCGACGAACTTCCATTTGATGGTGTAGCGGGACGGGTCACTGCCTGTGAGTGCCTTGAACACGGTCGGGGACAGATCCAGGTCACCTTGCTTGCATTCCGGACACCTGTCGACGATGTAGACGATCTGTGTGCTGGTCGTGTCGCTGCATCTGGGGTCGTCACAGGAGACCTCGGCACATCGGCCACAGTTGTGGGTCGATTCCCACTGCTCGTTGTTCAGTGCGGCGTAGTTGCCACCGACGCCGGGGTCGTACATGAAGTTGCAATTGCCGGCGGATACCTGTCCGAGCGTGTACGATGTGCCGTCGCCTGTGAATTCAAAGCTTACATCAAGTAGATTGCGGACTCAATTTGTGACAAGGTCCAGTTCAGTTTTTGTTGGCTTCTAAAACATTGTGGGAAATATCTGTCGAGGCTGGTTGAACGACAGTGCACTTGATTTTTGTCTGGAAGCTATTGTCGAATCAAACGGACAGTCACTATTGCTGTCGACCCTAGTGGTGGATTTTGGTTGTACCAAAATACCCAAGACATTTATCCAAGATACAAGGTTCATTGTCCATCCAGTGAATTTAAATGCGAGTCACTGGGGTCTGATTATGGTCCGAATCGACCATGACGATGCAGACAACAGAACACGTGTACGACCAATGATGTATGAGCCTCTTATCGACAAAGAATATCGTGGTGAAGTTGTTGAGGTATGGCAAGGAACTACGATGAATGACGAGCGGAAAATGGCCTTGTCGACTTTGTGGGGCGGTGGCATGCCTACTCTGCATTGGGATATAAACTAACGATAGAACCGGAATTGTGGATTGAAACACCACAACAGCCTGACCACGTAAGCTGCGGAGTACTAGTTGTTGCCCAAGCGTATAGCTACCTAACGGGGAGTATGCAGCTTCAGCAGAACCAAGTATCCAAAGAAGACGTCAGTATAATGCGCCTAAAAATGTTGTGGATGATGATACGTCATTCCCACGAACGCTCGTCATCCGAGTACGAACTCAATAGGGCGAACCATGTTCAGCATCAGTTATAGGATCAACTC